ACTTACATAAATAAATTAAGACATTATAGAATATATCTTTAGCCAATAATAAAAAAAAAAAAAAAAAGAAAGGACATCATAGAAAATGTAGAAAATCTACTCCTTCGCTCACAGTCCACGTCGGTCGAGATATTTATGAAACAAAACGACGTCTATCCTCTGTTTCTAAGTAGAATGACATGTTCACCAATTATATAAAGGCTCCTTCCTGCGTACAGTATATTCTTACAGCCATTCGCATCTTCTAAATTTCGCAAAATAGGGCATATAAACGAGTCAGCAAATATTCTTTTGTACATTCGACGCTAGGAGCCTCTGAAAAATAACGTCTTTACAAAGGCGGCATCTATATTATAGCACCACCTATTCCTCTGCTCAGGCTCACATTTGATACCTATACAAATGGAAGTATTATTTATGCATTCCAGTTAAGAAAAAATGAGAACCTTCTTGTATTAGGCATGGTAAAATACCAAAGAAGAGAAGCTATTTTCTTATGTGATCCTCCTTCTGCTGTTGAATGATAGTGAAACAGGATGCAGATGAGTTTTAATTTAAATCTGGAAGTTCTAAAGGACGGTATTAAATATATGTATTATTCATAGGTGGTACTGCAGAGCAGAACGAGCGACCGTTTCGATCACACTCTACTATCATGGACAGTCTGCATTTTTCTTTTTTGCTTTCTTTTCGGGAAAATCCTATCACATTTGGCTCGTCTAATTTCAGCCCTCTACAAGCATTAAGGTGAAGTGAAGATTGAAAACCTTGTTGCAGTGCTTCGCTAATTGAAACTGCCAAGTGTGCAAGACGGAAGCGGAAACACACGTAGCGCAATGGGGGGATTTTGTTTACCATGAGGCCTTTGTGACTGAGCGGGGCAGTCATGAGAAACCTGTCGGAGGCTTCTTTCTGCCTCACGCGTGTGTTATGACTCGCAGAAATAGACAGTTATGAGCATAAATAATTATTATTGCAGCAGGAGAGTGCGGCATTCAGTGAAATAAGCGAAATAATGCGAACTAAGGTGGGCCTTAATGATTACCACACCTGTATCTCCAGTGGCGAAGTTTCCGCTGCTGTAGGGAGAAATACCAGGGGGGATTCATCCTAACACACCAGGAGAACAGGGGACTACCACAAGTGCCACAACTACCACAATCACGACTCCAGAAAAAGAAGAAAAACACTTGTCCGTGTCGTTAAAATAATAATTGGTTACTAAATTACACAAACTACTGTTCTTGTTTTGACTTCTCCCATAAAACAAATTATGAAATCTTGTTGTTCATGAAAGCACTTCTGTGTAAATAGGTAGCTAAAACGAAAAGAGTGGAAAACTAAAATGAAGCCCCCCGGGGAAGAATTGTTTAGGTAAGGATGGCCAGAATTCTATGCAGACCGACAGAAAAAAAAGAGAGAAAAATAACGAGTTGGGAACTACTACGGGAAGGCGATCCACTAAAGCGAAAAAGTGCAGCTTATGGTTATAATATATATATAGAAACAGATACAAAAAAGGAAGCTACATGCATGCGTGCCTTTATTTACTTATTTTCCAATTTCTTCATGACAAAAGAATATTGATAATACGATTAAGTCATGGGAAACACTATGCTTCCGGGTTTTATTAACCATTTATGACAAAAAAATGTGGCAGTCCCATGACGTGAGGGGGAAAGCTTCTGTAAATTTCTCCCCCAAAATACTGTAGTGTGCATATAGCGACTTCACATTGGTGAAATTATTTTACACACATTGTTCATGAAACGTTCTGTATATTCTTCCATGATTATGTTTTGCGGACCATGAATACCCTTGTCTGCCCCGTATTGATGTCATCTCACGGACACCATCATTCTGCCCAGTTCGCATGACAAGGACACCATCCCTTATTATGGATCGCCTCACTTCGGCACCCTCCTGGAGTGGTCTCCTGGCGTGTCCTCTATTTCTGTTTCTATCTTCATTTCTATATTTGTTCTTAATGGACTTCTTAATTCTTTGTAACTTACCTCCAAGGTAGATGATTAAGATAGTGGACAAAACGAGAAAAAACAAATAAGCCATCGAAGAACCTACGGCCGTTATTACTTTCGCATATATAAGCATTCCCAAAAGTGGAGTGAAACACTTTAATATGGAAGTAGCGATTCCTAATCTGTCACATGAGGATTCCTCCTTTTTAGAAGATTTACTATTGCCCTTCGCGTGATCAAGAAGGGAGCGAAGTGGTTGGTTCCTGATTCTTTCTTCGATGTCTTCAAGAAAGTTGTTTATCAAATTGGATGATTCGTCGTCCTCTTTAAATTCACTCCCTGTCTCTCCAGAGGACTTCCCTCCGTATGGGACCCCTGACATTTTACGATTCTGGTAATCTCTTTGCGTTTGCGACCTCCCAGGGGACGGTCCAGGGTGCATATCTTCTTCGCTGCTGTCAGTGTTGCTTGCCCCTTTCATCGCATTTCTGAAATTGTATTTTACACGTTTTCCTGCTGCTTCTTGAAATCTCCGTCCGGATTCCTCCCGGTTTTAATAGGTCTGGGACTGTTCCTCGTGGTGGTAGTACGCAAATTTTTGCCTTCCTTCAATGGCGTGTGTTTCAGAAGGGTAATAACTCCTTCTCTGATAACATTTGTCGTCTTCATTCTCATTGTTATCATCCTCATGGTCACGATCCTGATGGTCACTGTCCTTCCTGTCATACATCCCATCATGGTTATCGTAATCCTCTCCTTGACCGAACGAGTAGAATATTCCTTTAGACTCCTTTTTATTCCTGATGCCTTTAAAATTATCCGTGGTGAATTCTTTATATTCGTTAGCAAATAAGTTCATATTTTTCTTGATGCTGCCAATATTGACGTCGGCACATTCTTCTTCTATGGTGTATTCGTCATACTCATTTTTGACGCTTGTGAAAAGCTCATCTCCTGCCAAGTCTATCGGAATTTTTTCAGTCATTCGTTTGTATATTGCTTTCTCGGGCACATCTAACTCTGATTTTAGCATTCTGCCGGCTGGGAGATGGCGAAGTTCAACCCCAGGGGTGTCCTGCATAGGGTGACAAAAGGAAGGAAATGAACAAAATGAATGAAATGAAGGGAATAAACGGAATGCGCTGAATTAACTAAATGAACGGAATGAAGGCGATTCCATGTTTACAGAGATGCATAATTATAGGAAGGGGGGGAGTATTTTCCAATGCGGAGACTCATCCGCCTGCATAGCGACATGTTTCATTTGCGAGCTCTGCTGGGCGTCACATTTTTATCCGCGTAATGCCAGGTTTCAACAGGGAGTGCTGCCACCAGAGTTATAATAGATCGTGCTGACATATTGATTTTATTTTATTTATTTAGTTATTAAGTTATTTCATTTTACCTTATTTTTTTTGTTCCTACTTTATTCTGTTCTATTTTTTTTTTTGCTTTATTGTACTTTACTCCGTTTTATTCTATTCTATTTTATGCTATTTTTATTTCCTGTTGTGTTGGAAAAAAATATTCTTCATGAACTTTTTAGGAAAAAAATTAAAAGCTAAATAAAGGCACACATACCTGGACATAATCCTTTCCTAAATTATTTAATGAAGTTCGGCTGCTCCTTTTTTCTTTTCTTTTTTCTCCTTTGCCACTATTTCCTTAGCTATAAATTCCCAAAAATTGTATAGATGCTTCTGCAATTAGATCTAATAATTCAATAGTTATTACTATAACACTTCATGAAATTAAAGATTCCTCACGAAGTAATTTAGCAGGAGTAAGCAATAATCGGGTTGCACCTACATATGCCCCGATATAATACAGAAATGTGCCCCTTCCTATGTGCCTGTTTCTATTCATGCATACTATCCATCATAACAATTTAATTATAACTTATTCATCAATAAGTAACATGCAGTATCTCTATAAGTAAGGAGAGTTACACACTCTTGCATCCATGAATTGGCGATGAATATACTCAGATATTGACATAATTCTTTAGGCATCCTCTGAGAAAATATAAAAGGTACTGTTAAGGAATTACTAGTTAGTTGAGTATTTCTTTTTTTGGACATGAATAATACAGCTTAAATATCACTACCGCAATAACTTGGCCTCCCTTGTTGTTCTTGGGGATTGTCATATAATTGAAATCGAACACTTCTCCTCAATGGAAAGGATTCATTGTGGAAATATTCAGTTCTATGTAACAGTATTCTGAATCTATTCAATATTGAAGTATGCTTTTCATTTAAGACATTGAATTATGGCAGAATGAATCAATGTGTGCATTATTAGATAATATAAACATTTATCACAATGTTACAAGGTTTCCACACTTTTCCTTATATATACGGCATTAGGAGGCATGGAAGAAAAAGAACAATGCAAGCATATGTAAAGGAATATTTAAAATATTCATAAGAAGACAGTACATAATAAGAACTATTCTACACCACATATGCTACCTTATTGTCCTACACTTCTCAAAAGGAAGAGGGACCATGAGTAAGGTCTTGTGCTTAGATTGTAACAATGGCAGGATTAGCGGAAATATTTCAGGAAGGAAAAGACATACACAAATAATCCCATCCTTGACTGTACCAATTACACGGGCAAGTTACTCTCTATATAAATCGTGGCAGCGAAATCCACAGTAAAATGATAAAACAGTGATAAATCCCCGCATTATAGCATTACGCTGTTACACGGATAGTAACAGATGTACCATAGGAATGGCAGCACAGGATAATCATGCATTAGAATCAGATGAAAATACATAAAGAACCTATAGGTCTCGGTTATATATTTAAACAGGCATCGGAGTTCAATCCATAAACATGTGTTATATTATATAGAGGGTATTTACTTCATGACTATGACTTTCCCCGCGTCTGAGGAAATTACGCGCATTATAAGACTGACATTTTTAATGCGCAAGTTATTCGAGGCACAGATTGCATAATAATGTAAAAATATAAAGGAAGCGCATACCCACCCAAAAATTGCATGAATGGATAGATGAAAGATATTTCACATTATTGCGGTGAGAATCAGAATAAATGGTTACAGGAATGTGAGGAATACATACACTAATACATGGGAAATAAACACAGTCACACGAATGATATGATTCGTTGGATATATTAAAATTTATTTTATATGCGTTGCCAGGGACCATACGACAAAGAGATCATGAAGCCAGAAAGCTGATATCGAGAGTAGACGCACTAAGACTGACCATAGATAACGATGCCGAGTCAATTCATCCCTCACCATCAAATTCTCTTGCTCCCGCGGAGTTATTGATTCCATATCTTATGGCATAGGAGGACTTATATGCTGTGGAAATGTAGGAATAAATTTGAAACTATGACAGGGTACGCGCATTTGCATATATAGCACGATTGAGGCCGAGTTATCCATACTGGAAACTTGCGGTTGAAAAGAAGGATAGTCCAAATGGACGAATGAGTCAGATGTGGATGTGATTTGCAGAAAATTCTTTAAAACAGAACATAAAATGATAGCACAATATAATTGACGTTGCTGCCCCCAATGTAGCTGGATGGCTGCAAATGGTAATTCCTTCGATACATTCTTGTGCATATACACGCCAAGCTCAGGTGTAAAATTCGCAAATAGATCTGTTCCTGTACAATCTCCTTTTTTTCTTTTTTTTCAGTTTAATTTTATGTACGAATATTCGTCCACTTCTTTTTTTTTTTCTGTCATATTAAGTGAATTCACTCTTGTTAAAATTATATATAATTCTGTTCTTCCCCGCTATTTTTTTTTTCTCTAACATAGGACTTGAAAATGAATATGCATTATTCTGCCGCTCAGGCCTGAGGAACACTGCGTATATGAATCATTCTCTATATAGTCGCTTTGCTACCTCCGCGATGCATTCCATAAAACACGTGGAGAAAGAGGAGCAACAGCATATGGATAATACAGTTGCTGCCTTTTTTTTATAGGGCAAAGCACATCACACAAGGGCGCACGTCTCGGAAACTATGTAGTCACAATAACACCTTCAGGAAATTTGATATCTGGCTTCCAAGACGAGAGTGGGAAACCGTAACGAATGTATTCACAGGAGGCGCTCACACGATATAACCTGCGCAGAATCCACAGAATGTAGGAAATAGAAAATTAGGAAATTTTCCCATTTAATTAAAGTAAAAAAGAAAAAAAAAAAGAAACAAAGGAACGAACGCGTCACGATCCCTACATTAAGAGAGGCGTCATTTTCTTCTATTCTTACGATGAGCAAATAAAAAAGAAAAAAAAAAAAACAAATTCATGTGAGTAAAGCAATGCAGAAAATTGCAGTCGCAATCCCTCAAATCGAGGGAATTAGGAATGAACGGAAAGGAACACAATTTCCCTGACAAACCTTTGACCAGTAGTGACCCATCGTGTCAAGATAGATACCCATATAAATAGGATGTCAATTATGACGAGAAAAAACACCGTACACGGACTGTAAGGACACCTAGCAGGATACTTTTCCCGTAGTTTACAACAAACAATTCCTTATATTTTTACAAAAACAAAATAGGTTTTAAGGAATGTGTTAAAATTTAAAAAAAAAAATAAATCGGTTTCAAATGATTATATACTTTCATGTATAAAATAACAGACAGATATCATGGGATATTTCATCCTAGTGCAATAAATACAAGGGTACATTTTGTAATTGACGCCATACCCCTCAATACAAAGGGAAAAAACTTCAACACAACAATTAATATATGTAGGCAACTCCGTACTTACATATATTTCTTCCCGGCTGTCAACAATCGGGTATATTTTAAAAGAGACTGAGGTTCCTAATAAACTCCTTCGTTATCTGATTGGGAATTCGCCCCCCTCAACATTTCTCCAGATATGTCACTGGAAGTGCTTTCCACTGTTTCCACTCTGCCTTTTTGGCGTTGATTCCCTCTCTGTGATGATTCTCTCAGGTACTGTCCTCTCTTAATCTGTTTAGACCTTGTTCCTTTATATATCGTTACTCGTTTTTGCATGCTTCCTTCTATCCGTATGTTCACGTTTGTTGATACTACTCAGTCATGCATATGGTTGTATCTTATATATTTCTTCCTCTTTCGAAATGGAAAATTGTGCGAGAGTTCAGATTGCCCCCAATGTATAGATTATTTTACGATTATCCTTGTTATTTTTCTTTGCTTCGTTTTTTTCCCCAAAAGGACCATTCGTTGGAATTTTATGAGTATTAGTATCCTGCTGTCAAAGTTATTCCTGAAACATCAATGTTATTATTGCCATTGATATTCCAGGAACAACAATACTTCGCATATAATAGTACTATGGGGATATGCCTTCGGCTTATGGGATGCCAATCCAGATAGATCCGTGGACTCCACATAACTGTGCTGTTCTTATAATAGAGTCGGGATTTTAACCGCCTCAAAAATTAAGTACTGAGGATGAAAACACATCTGTGTAGTATACACAATGGTCCTCTTCAAATAATAAAATGCCAAATGCTCCATCCACTCTATAATAATATTCGGGGCAGATACTTTCAGTTAACGACGTAGTACTGGCGGGATATTCTTGCGGTTAACACAATAGTATTCCTTTTATGAAAGCATTACAGGTACATTCAAAACCTTGAAAGGATAGTACGGCTTGGGCGGTGGTACACTATGAATAGATGTATCCCAGGTACATCAGTACTCTTCAAATTATAATATTGGAGCGGCAAGTGTGGTCCTTTAATTGTGGTACTCTCGGGATATCAGTACCCTAAATAGAATAGTACTCTAGGCACACCTGTACATTTCACACAGTTCTATTGTTATCGTAGTACTACAGCAAATAAAATAGTACAAGAGGCATATCCGTAGGTTTTACACAAAGGTGTTACACTTGATGGGTTCGGTTAATACGAATGTGTTGCTGACCATCAGTACTGCTCACACAATTTTAATTATGACTGAGGAAAACTCTTTAAATAATAGTTCTCCACAAACACTAGTATTCTTCACTAAG